GATAATTTATTTTTCTCAGTCCATTTTTTTCCCTTAATTTCTTTGGAAGAGGTACTAGGGACTTCCCTGGCGGTCCAGAGGTTAGTACTCTGCGCTTCCAATGCAGGGGGCAGGGGTTTGATCCCTCGTCAGGGAACTAAGATTCCACATGCTGCATGGTGAAGCAAAAAAAAAAAAAAAAAAAAAAAAAAGAAGGGGTACATTCTATCACTCTATTTCTATTTTTAGCGTTATCCTAGAAATGTCAGGCTGTCTGTATACCAGAGTCTTTGCTCTCTTCCTGAGTGAGCTTGGTAGATGGCTGTAATTCCAATCACCTCTCACCTCAGGACTTACTATTATTGTTGTTATGTACTCTAAGTAGCCCTTGTTTTACTTTTACTTCACAACACATATTTGTTTTATAAGGTTAATGTCTACTTAAATTTACACTTTCTTTCTCTTCATTCCTTCTTACATCTCAGATTTTCCATCTGCGATTCAGTCTGAAGACATTCATTCAAAAAAAGACATTCAGGTTTTTGTTTTTGTTTTTGTTTTTTTTTTAAGGAGAATGCTTATTTCTTTTTTAAAAAAACAGCTTTATTGAGATATAATATATACCTCATACAATTCACCCATTTAAAGGTACAATTCAATGGCTTTTAGCATATTCACAGACTTGTACAACCATCACCATAATCCATTTTAGAATATTTTCATTACCTCAAGATAGATTTTTTTTAAAAAGTCTGCTGGTGACAAAACCTCTGATTTTGTTTGTCTAAAAATATTTTGTACTTGTAACATATTTTCTCTGGGTATAGAATTTCAAGTTGACAATTACCTTTTGTCCAGTTAACACTGATGCCAGATGGTACCATTCCAGTTAACACCGGCTGTGTTTGAGACATCTGCTGTGGGCTTGCTCTTTGAAAGGAAATATAATCTTCTCTAATTTTAAGATTGTTTCTTGGTCTTTTTGTTCTGACAATTTATTACAATGTGTCCACGTATGTACTGGTTTTAAAACACGTCCACAAATTCTTAGACTCCACCTCCAGGTGGAACCTAATTCTTCTCCCTTTCTTCTCCCTTTGAGCGTGGGCTGGACGCAGTGACTTGCTTCTAACAAACAGACTGTGGCAGAGTATCACTTCCAAGACCTGGTCATAAAAGACCCTAAAGCTTCCTCCTGCTTCCTCTCTGGGATCACTCATTCTGGGGAAAGCCAGCTGCTACCACATGTGAACACTCATGCAAGCCTTATGGAGAGGTGCACGCGGCAAGAACTGTGTGTGCGTAATGCTTCTCTAAGCATTCCTGTGAGCCCTGGGAGTGGAAACGGTCCTGAAGCAGATCCTCCAGCCCCAGTCGAGCCTTGCGATGCCTGCTGCCCTGGAGGACATCTTGACGGCTACTTCAAAGAGACCCCAAGCTAGAACTACTCAGCTAAGCCACTCCCGAATTCCCGATCCACAGAAACTGTCAGAAGATAATGATTTGTTGTTTTAAGCCACAGAGATTTGGGATAATTTGTATGCAGCAATTTATAATTAATACGAAGTGTGAAAAAAACTTGAGGCAAACTTGCTTATTGGGCTGTAATGAACATAAAAAAAGTGCACAAAACATATATGTACAGCTCAATGAATATTTGTAAAGTGAACATACCTAATGAATCATCACCCATAACAAGCGACAGAACATTTGACTGCAGATGTCTTTTGGTTGCCCAGCTTGAGAATTGCTGACCTCGAACCTGTGGACTGGTGATTTTGAAAAGTTCATTCATTAAAAAAAAAAAAAAGACCTTTGCCCCATTTTTGCCTTTTTTTCCCCCTGGAACTCCAAACACAAGTCGGATCTTCTCACTCTATCCTTCCTATCTCTTAGCCTCTTGTTTTACATTACTGATCTGTTTATCGCGCTGGCTGCGATAAACGGATAACGGATAACGGATAACCTCTTCAGATCTAGCTTCCTATTCACAAATTGTCTCTTTGGCTCTAATTCACAGATACAAGATTTTAAATTGCTATAATAATTTTTACTTCTAGAGCATCACTTTGGTTCTTCTGCAAATCTATTCTGGTTTTCAAGCTTCTCTTTTAGTTCTTAAATCATTTTTAAACATTGAAATTATCTGACTGATAATTCTAATGTCTGAAGTCTTTGCAACTCTCATGCTACCATGTTCTTTCTGATGTCCTTTGCTCTGAGTGCTTTGTTGCCTAGTATATCTCGTGAACTTCTCTGTAAGCTATTCCTCTTTCTTGGAACTTTATTGGTGGGGATTCTTTGAGGACTAAGATGAATAAAGATTCATTCAGGTCGGATCTGCATTTCCTTCTGTCAAGTGTCTGAGACCACCACATTCTGGGACCACTGTAAATCTTGGCCTGAGGTTTCTCGTGTGCAAACCCACGTGAGGGAGGGCTGCCTCAGTTCTCAAGGGAGACTTTATTCTACTCCAGTAATTGGCAGGGTTCAAGTTCCCCTTGGGATGCCAAGAGTACAGACTGATTATTAGTTTACAGAGGGTGCTGCCCTTTGGGGCCCCACCAGGCACTGAGGGCCTCCAAAACCAAGGCTCGATTTCACCTGGCTTGTCCAATACCTTCAGGGCAAAGGTCAGGCTTCAGCATTCTGCCGCTTCTCTTACCTTTCGGCCTGAGTATTCCATACTTTCTTGCCAGGTCACTGATGCATTTAAAAAGCATTTGTCAATATTTATTTACCTAGTATTTTTAGCTGTTTTCCAAAGGAAGATCAGTTCAGGCAACCATCCTACCGAGATGCCAGAAACAGAAGTGATTGCTACTCCTTCTTCAAGTACCTTTTTTCTCCAGTTTTCTTTTTCCGCACGAATTCCTATCAGCTAAAGGACAGCTACCCGTACGTCAGGGCTCTCAACCTATCCCCTCTCTCCTTCTGTCTCTCTCTCTCTGCCACCTTTTGGATCTTCAACTTTACTTCCAATTTATTAATCCCTTCTTTGACTGTAAGTAATCATTTAGCTCCTCCAGTGAGTTTCTTACTTTAATAAACATTCTTGGACTTCCCTGATGGCTCAGCAGTTAAGAATCCACCTGCCAATGCAGGGGACACGGGTTCGAGCCCTGGTCCGCGAAGATGCCACAAGCCGCGGAGCAACTAAGCCCGTGCGCCACAACTACTATGTCTGCGCTACAGAGCCAGCAAGCCACAACTACTGAGCCCGCGTGGCGCAACTACTGAAGCCCACGCACTCTAGGCCCTGTGCTTCGCAACACGAGAAGCCACCGCAATGAGAAGCACGTGCACCGCAACGAAGAGTAGCCCCCGCTCTCCGCAACGAGAGAAAGCCCGCACGCAGCAACGAAGACCCAACGCAGCCAAAAATAAATTAATTAATTAATTAAGAACAAAACAAAACAAAACATTCTTTATTTCCAAGATTTCTAATCAGTTGTTTCTTATACCAAATCCCTGTTCTTGAGTTGTGTGTGGGAGGGGGGGTCAGTCCCTCTTTGATCTCACTGGTGATAAAACAAATGCTCATTTTAAAGCCTGTTAGGATATTATCGTTTTACTTTCTTCAAGTAGAAACTCTCCCACTTGTTGGGCTGCTGGCCATTCTTTATGGCACTGGATTTTCTCATGCATTTTATAATTTTTGAGTGTCCCTCACGGGTGATGGTTTTTGCCTTTCTCTCTCCCTGCAGGGCCGTTGTTCTATAGGGCACACAGGGCTGTAAATGCAGAAGCAAACCTTTCATTAACTCTCTGGGCTCTCATACAGTGGGGATATCCTTACTCTGGTGCTGAGTGGGAGCCTAGTTGCCAGTCACAGGTGTCTGAGTCCTACACTGCCACAGACAAACAGCCTGCTTCCAACTGCAATCCCAGGAGATGGGGGCATCTTTTCACCCTTTATTCCTAGGAAGGGAAGCCCAGCTCTAGACCCTGGCTATGCAGAGGGAGCCTGGCTCCAGTCCTGAAACCTGTGGGGCATGTCTGATCCCTGTCCCTTGTGGGAATCAGTCCTGGCCTTGTCTCACTGCTCACCACAGCAGTCAGCCACCTACCACTTCAGCCCTTACTCATAGCTGCCAGTTTCTGCTCCCTTCCCAAGAATTATCTTCTTAGAGGAGTTGCATAATTTTAAGTTAAACCATTTACTTTATTGTATGAGTGACCGTCTGTGTGCACACACTCCCTCCACCTCTACCGCCCGAGTCCTCAGCACCGTCTACCAGAGCTAGGCCATTGTGTTCCTAGAAGCTGGCACGGAGGGAGGAACACACTCTGGGATGACTCAGGGCAGGGGTGGGAGGCTCAAGGGGAAACCATGAAGGAAACTTAAGAGTGTGATCATCCTGGAGGAGATGAAACTCTAAATGGTCACAGGTACCTGGAGTCAGACTTGTGGCCAGCCGGTCATTCTGGAGAGTCAGCTCCACAGAGGAGGCTCATGGTCCTGAAGCCAGGACCTTGGGGACCCAGGGTCCAAGAACACCCCCGAAACCCAGGCTACAATACCGCAGTCTTTAGCAGAATGGGCCACCCTCCCCCATACGGGCAGCCTGTGCCAGGGAAGCCAGCGTCTAGCTCTGGCTGGTGAAGTGGGGAGACGGGCTGCTGGGGCTGTGGGTGGAATGTGAACGAACAGTGCCAGGGGCCCCGAATCTGTAGTGGCCCAGAGTCGAGGCTTTGCCAAGGCACAGCTCACGCCCTTCATGGGCCCAGTCGCTTCCTTCTCACTGCGAGGGGGTCCACAGAGGACCAGAGTGGGAGCCTCTCCAAGGTATCCCACAAACTACTGTAAGGCCTATCTCTGTCACCCAAGGATTTTGAGGTGATCACCGCTGACCAAGGACTGGACCAGAACCTGGACCCAGGAGGTCAGGCCTGGGCCTTCCCCACCCCTCCAGCCTCAACATGTTCAGCCCAACACAGGGCTTACTCATATTAAACATCACCTCCGCAGCTGCCCTGTCTTGGGGCCCAAACCCAGAGTATCCCAAATATTCAGGAGGTTTCTGCCATACACAGGGGTCTGCTTGTTTCTATTTCCAGACATTAAAAAAATTCAAAATAACATATGTATGTAGAGATACAGCAAGCCCACAGAGTTGTTGCTGGCTCTGCCCCAACTCAGCACGCTGGGGACCACTCGGGAGACAAGGAGCCGACCTCACAGCATGGGGACGGGTGGGGTTCAGACTGCTAGGCAGGGAGTCACTGTTCTGAGGCCAAACTGGAGGTGATGGCAAGCCCAGCCCCGACCCTTGCCCAAGACCATCCTCCTATAGGACAGGCCTGAAAGGCGGGCGGCGAGGGGATAGGGCGTGCCTCAGTCGGAGTCACCAGCCTCTTGTTCGGTGGTGGTGGCCGCCACTGCAGAGGCCAGGTTGTCCTCCTGGCCCTTCAGCCTCTCACCTGGAAGGGTGGCAGATAGGAGGAGTGGAGAGGGGCCGTGTGTTTGCGCCACCACCCAGAGGGCAGGGGACCCTGCCTTACCAGGCCCCGCACTTACGGATCAGCTCGGCGATGGCCCTCTGGGTCCGCTTTTCTAGCTTCTCCAGCTTCTTGGCTACATCTCTCTTGAGGTCCCTGGAGCAGGGAGGTGGGAGGAGGCCGGAGGCTGAAGGCTGGCCTGGTGTGGCCTTGGGGCCTTCCCCTCCCACAGCCCCTCCGGCATCAGGAATCACACTCGGGTGCCTGAGGCCAGGATGCTCCTCCCTCTCTCTTTCTGTGTCCTCCAAAACCCAGCACCAGCCAACCTTGCCGGTCCCAGTGAGGCAGGGACTAGCACCACAGACCCACCCAACACAGGGGACCGAGTTAAGGTGTACAAGGTAGATGGTTCTTAGGGTCCTGTCTGTCTGTTCCCCTTGGTCTCCATCAGGGAGTGACTTGCCCCGGCCCGCTGGGGGTCCCGCTCCTCCTTCGACCACACGTTCACCCACCACCAGGAGCTTCCAGAAGTGCACACACAGCCTATTCCCCCGGCTCTGGGTTTCCAAGGACACGCGCCCCATGCTTTTGTTTCATTGTATCAGAACACCTTCAGCTAGTGCCGTACTTGACACAGAATTGCAAATGAGGGGGAAATGGCTGGTACCTCTGGCCGAGGTAAAGCGAACACATGGCCCTCTCTCACCCTCTTTCTCTGCCCAGTCAAAGGGGCACCAGGAAGGATGAGCATCCCCATTTCACTGCAGAGGGAACCGAGGCTAAAGGGAAACAGGCTAGCTGGTGGCAGAACTGGGGCAGAAACCTTCATCTGCCCTTCCCACCGTCTTGCCTCTACCCTATGGCTCCCTGAGGGCAACGGTCAGCCTTGTTCAAATGGAGCTCTCTGAGGTGGGGCGGGCCCTCATCCTTTCAGAAGGGACTTTTGGAGGGGACTGCTGAGCCCCCTCTGCCCGAGCCCCTCCCCACCCTTAGGTGTCATTCCCCGTCATGTCCCTCTCATTCTCCACTTAGGTCCTTCTTGGCACTTACTTCAGACATTAATAATCTCCTGTAGCCGTATGTCTACACTGCCTGCCTCCCGTTGCGAGGCTAGGAAAGGCCCAGCCGGAGCCCATGCCTAGCACCAAGAGTGTCCCAGTCAGTCTGCACTGGTCCTACATGGGCAACACTCACCAATCAGGCTTCCGGGGTGCGAGGTTGGCCAGGTCCTGGGGAGGGAGGAAACACATGTCAAGGCGGGAAGGGCTTAGCCCCAAGGGAAGTAGAAGACAGGGGACAGAGGTAGGAAAAGGGGAGAAAAGGGAGGAGGAAGGAGGGGGCTGAGGGGAAACAGGGAGGTAGAAAGGGAATAAAGAAGTGACGAGAAGGAAGGATGTGTGAAGAGAGCAGGTGGGGAGGAGAAAAGGACCCACAGAAGGAGCAAGGGAGGATGGGGACACCCCCAGGCACTCACCACTTCCTCAATGATGGGCTCTGGCTTGGCGGCCTCCAGCTGCTCCTTCACCTTCTCTTCCACTAGAGGGCGCAAGACAACAACGGAGGCAGGTCGGAAAGGAGCCACCACTCTCCCAGATAGGGCAAACTGCAGCCGCAGGTCCCTGGGAGAGTCTGGGCTTTCTTGCCCCGCCTCTCCCCTTGGCCCCTAACTACCTAGAGGTGAAGATCCTGCAAAGGCAGCTCTGGAGGAAGGGCTTGGGTTTCTCAGGATGAAGGCAATCCGGGGGTGAAGGAGGGCCAGCAGGCGGCAGCCAGCTAGAGTAGACGGAGCAAAGACCTCTAGCCAGGAAGCATGGGGGCTTCTCTTAGTCCCAGGATCCCCAGCTGGGAAATGAGACAGTTGCCTGGATATATCCAAAGTATGGTTTTGGGAAGGGCCTTGAGGACTGGCTTTTCCCATACCCTCCTGGGGCTCCTGGGCTCTGAGGACGTGCCCTGGGAATGGCCAGGGCACAGGTGGCGTTTCTTCCCGTCCCACTCTTAGATCTGTGCTCCCAAGACCAGGGGGGCAGCCACCTTGAGGATTCCTGCCCACGTGAACCTCCTGGCTCCACCCAGCTGCCAACAGCACAATGGGCCTCTGGGTGGCCTGACCAGGAGGGCCCTGACCCTGTGGGGACAGATGTCAAGAACAACAAATTTGGGCTCCATGGGCTTCCTCTAACCCCCCTCACCATTGTCCCGGGTCTCCTCATGGCCCCTCTGCCCTGCCTCACCTCCCTCCAGCCACAAGTGCTGACCCTGAGACATGGGACCAGTTCCCCGTCCCTGTCCTCTGTTCTGCCTCACTCTCCCCACCATGCCACTGCCTCACCATGGCAAGGCCCAAACCATGAAGCAGATCACTGGGAAGTGTGTGAATCTCAGGGCCGAAGGAGATGGGGAGGAAGACTGGAGTGCGGCTGAATGCGCAACACTTTACTCTTTTATAAGATAAATGTATCTATTAGTTTATTACTCATATAATTAAAAATTGATAAAAACAAAGAATAAAAAACACGGCCAGGGCCAGGGATCTGCATGATAAGAAGCACCCCAGCATCTCCAGCATGGATGGCTCTGGACAGGCTGCAGCTGGCCAGATGCTCCAGCTGCTGTGCAGCTCCCACACCGTGGTGTGACTGGGCAGCCTCTAGGCCAGGCCCTTCATCCCACCAGTGAGAACACCTCTGCCCATCCTTTGTGCTCTGGCACTGCCACGCCCCAAGCTGGGCGGGTGTCTGCCTGCCCACTACTCTGCAAGGACCTGGATGGTCAGCCCGTCTTCAGCGTCTCTCACTCTGACCCTCCAAGGGCCCGCAGCACCCATCACCCTGGCCCCTGCTGTCCAAGGGCCCCAGGGCCACTTCCACTTCTCAGCCCGGAGAGGTCCTCTGAGGGGATGTGGCCACTTCCCTCACAGGTCCCTGGAAAGCCTCCGAGGCAGGGCGTGAGCAGGGCAGAGCAGGCACAACAGGCCACTCCAGTGCCCAGACTGCTTCTGGTTGTGCATCTGCCACGAGATGGTGACAGAGGGTCCTGGAGGCCCAACTTCCAGCCCTGGCACTGTCAGTTATTCTCCAAGAGAGGGTGACACCTGCCAAGGTGGAGGCAACCAACAGTGCCATGGAGCAGAGGTGGAGGTGCAGCCCACCTACCTGCGATTGGCTTGGCCTGGGGCACCCTTCTCTTCTTCAGGTCCTCATCCTCTGGGACATAGTTCCGCAGCCTGAGTTCCCTAAAGGGCAGAGAGAACAAGCAGAGAGGAAGTAAGGTACAACACAGTCTCATTCACCTTATACAGGTTGCAGGTTGGCATGTGATGAAGCCATAGGAGCTGGCTACTTCCTGGACTTTCCTCTGGTCTCTCTGGAGATGACCTGGTGAAGGGGGACAGCACAGGAACAGAAGCTTCACTGTGATAGGCTCCCTTCTCCGAGCCTCAGCCTCCTCATCTTCCAGTTAGCAGCCGGGCTGGGTGCTCTCCCAAAGCCCCACCTGCACTATAGGTTCTCATCAAGAGCTGGGGTCGGGGGTGCACAGAGAGCATTCACTGGATGTCTCTCCAGCATTATCTCCATTTGACAGTTACGGGAACTGGGGGTCAAAGAGACTGCACCATTTTTATAGGGTCATACAGCAGTGGTCGCAGCATCTGAGACAAGGCAAGCTGTGACTCCAAGCCAGGGCCAGAGCTACTCCTAAAAGAGGAAGCCAGTGGTCACCCACTGGTTCCCCAAGCCCCACCTGCTCCTCAGAGCCTTCGTGCCCTGGAGCCTCAGCTACTGGTGGCAAGGGTCTGGTGTGCTGGGAGTGGCCAGCAAGGGCTGAGGGAACAGGCATGACAGTGTGCAACGCTGGGAAAGCCACAATGCACCTGGACAGCCATGAGAAGTTCACATACCTCGCCCCTGCAAGGGATTTTTTAAATCTACCAGAGCAGATCCCACGACCTCCTCTATGAAGGGGGAGCGGCCACAAGGAGCCAGAATGGCACACTGGGATTGACCAGCGACCGCGGTGTTGTTTTCCTCTTATCGCAGTCTCCTCGGGCAGGGCTGGCTGTACCAAGTGCTCACTGGAGGCCTCCCTGGCTCAGCAGCTCATCAAACCCCGACTCCCACACACAGCAGCCTGCCCGCAGGACGGGCCCTTGGCTAACTCCACAGGGTAGCAAAGAGAGAGTTCCTGGGGGCTGCTGCTTAATAAAGGCAAGACAGAGACAGTGGGAAAGACCATCTAGGCCCTGCGGGAGGCAGAAGTGGCCTCCCCAACCGGTTAGCCAGATGGGACTGGGATGTGGGTCCTCTTTCTTCCCCACTACCTCTTCTGAGCCCTCTCAGGACTGCTGGCGCCTCAGAAATCCTGGGAACATTTTCTCAACAGGAGGCCTCCTGTGGTCTGTCATCTACAGAACCCTCTGTCTGCGCCAGGGAAATGTGTGGCTGATTTCTCCAGCCCCTGGGCAAGCAAGCTTTTCCAGAAGGGAGGCAGGAGGTGTCTGTGGCTACACAGTTAGCAAGTGGCAGTGGTCTGAACTTGGGGGTTTTCTGACACCAAATCAGTCCCCTATTCACCAACTTCACCTGCCCCCCCCCCTGCCCTCTGCCAGGGCCCCTAGGGCCTGCAGTCCTGGGCTTGGCTAAACCTGTGTGCCTGGGAGTGGTACCAGCATGGCCTGTGTGGAGGAAGCCTGCTGCCTACTCCCAGGGTCTACCTCCTCTAAGGAGCAGGGACACCACCCTGTCCCCCAACCCCCAATGCCTGGAGGTAAATGCCAGGTCACTAAGGCATGGGGAGAGAAAGTGGTGCATGATCGGTACATTGACTTTCGTTTGTAACAGGGTGGGGAGAAAAGTGGAAGAGAAACTGGGTGTGGGAAGAAAACTGTGGGGATTAGTGAGAATAAAAAAAAACAAAACTGTCACTCTCAGAAACTGGCTCCAGGATCTTGTAAGAGATCAGAGAGGGGAGAGTCTGGTGGCAGCTGTACCCAGAGCTCACAGCAGTAACCACAAGCACCCACACCTCCAGCACCCCCTGCTGCCCAGGCTTCAGAAGACTAGCCGGAATGAGGGAGGACACAGCAGGAGACACGGAGGGGCCAGAAGTAACAGGAAAGAGCGGCAGCATCTGGTGGGCCGGCTGCACAGCAACCACCCCCAGCACCCCCGGTAGCCCCGCCAGCCACTGTTCCCTGTTCTCCCCTAGAGCTGAGCACTGGTCAAGCACTCAAGAACACCTGGGTCCCAGTCACTGTGGAACTGCCCCATGCTGGGCTCCGATTTTCACATCTGTAAACAAGGCTGGGTGTGTCGAGCTCTGTCAAGCTAGGTTCAAGTCCTTCCCTGATTCAGTCCGTTGAGAGATAATGAAGAGACTGACCCTCACTAATGTCCAATTAACTGCTCCTCCCACCCCACCCCTATTTACCACCAAATGGCAAAAGTCTCTGGAGAGGTCATGGGGCACTGGGTTCTGCTCTGGGGCCTGGCCTTTCTAACAAAGGAACAAGGTTTAATTCCCTCCTTCTGCAAACTTAAAAAAATCTGTGTGTTGGTGAATTACCACGGCAATAAGGACCTGAGGGGCTGCAATCACAGAAAGAAGGGAAGTGCAACAAGGTGAGCCTGGCTTTGGGCATTTCTTTCCCCTTAAAGCATTTGTCTTTTCACAAGCAGAAGCTGAAAAGCCGAGAGACCAAGTGGAGCTTCCTGCGATCTCATGAGGCTGAAGAGACAAAAGTTTGTGTTCAGTGAGAGGAAGCCTCTTCATCAGTCCTGAAAGGGTAGGTCAGGGTATCCATGTCTGCCAAAAGCTGGAATAAACTCCTTCTGGGGGAAAATAAACTATTCAAAATCCCAAATTATCTCTGGAACTTTTCATATGCAATGTCCAGAATTCAATCAAAGCCAAGAGAAAAAAATAAAGATAACAGAAATACACTCACAGGAGGTCTAGATATTGGAATATAATGTCAGAAATGAAATGTAAGTTAATTGAAATTATTAGAAGTTCAGGAAGGTATACCACAAGATCAAGAATTTTAGCAGAGATATCTGAATTTCGGAAACTGTAAAAATCAATCAAATGGAAATTCTACAAGTGAAAACAGAATCAAAATTAATAAATCAATAAATGGGTTCAACAGCAGTGTGGATACTGCTAAAGAAAGGATTAGTGAACTGTAAGATAAGCCAGAAAATATCCAGGCTGAGGGACAGAAGTAAAAAAGTTGAAAAATACATAAAATAACTTAAGAAACATATGGAACATGGTGAAAAGATCTAACATACATGTAATCAGAGTCCCAAAACCAATATTTAAAGAGATAATGAGTGAAAAATTTACAGAATTAATTAAAAACATCAAGCCATAGATTAAAGAAACTGTGAACTCCAAAGAAAAGCATAACTAGGCAAATCACTGTCCAACTACTTAACACCAAAGACAAATTCTTAAATTAGACAAAGACACCCAAACTTCAAAGGAGAAACTGAAAATGACAGCTGATTTTTCAGCAGAAGCCATGAAAATCGTAAGACAATGGAGAGATACATGGGAAGGGCCGAAAGTAAATAAAATGCCATACCAGAATTATAAAGCTAGGTTAAACAGCCTTCAAAGAAAGACTTTTCCAGATAAAGAAAAATTGGGAAGATTAATCATCAGAGGATCTGTTCTTTAAGAAATACTAAAGGGAATGCTTTAGACTGAAGGAAAATGATCTCATACGGAAGCATGGAACTCAGGAAGGAATGAAATGCATTCCTTGAGAAGCATGAAAGAGTAAATATGTGGGTAAATTTAAATGAATATTGACTGCATAAACAGTAATAATGACTTGTGGGATTTCAAATACAGCAACAACAGTACAGAAGACAGGAAGAGAGGCAAATGGCCTTAAAGTGTTCTGAGGTTGTGGCACTGTATGGGAAATGGTAAAATGTGACTTGTTATTAGACTTTGATAAGTTAAGGATGTATGTTGTATCGCTGTGGAAACCTCTAAAAGGGAAAGGAGTATATTATTAGCAAGATAACAGGAAGGACATGGAAAGGTTAAAAACAAAAAATCCAAAAGAAGACCGGACTTGAGACACAACAGGAAAGCCAAGAAACAAACGGTAAGATAAGAGGGTCACGAGGTGGGCCCAGGCTGCCGTCCTGGGGGCTTCCGCCTGCAGTGACTGGAAGTGCCACAGCTCTTGGAGACTGGGTGGGATGTGACTGCACTCATCAGGCAGGCACTGGCATCTGGAATCCACCCTTCTGGAGGCCACTAGAGCCTAACGCTGGTTCTGCTATCTCCATTTTAGAACGAGGAAGCTGCTCGGGTGAGAGGGTACAAGAGCCTTGGCCTTCCAACAGTGTGACCTGGGCTCAAATTCAGCTTTGAAGCTTTTGAGACAGGATGGAAAGTGTCATGCTTTTATTGGCTTCCATATGGAAATCAAAGGTATCATTTCTCATGAGGCTGTGGGTGACACAGAATGTGGACATCAACACTGCACAGAGTGGTGTCCTGCAGAGCAAAGGTCAAATCGCCCAGGAGTGCTACCTTCCCACTCCACACTGCTGCCCCAGAAGCCCCTTCCCAAACCCTGAGAGCTCTCTAACTGCTAGGAGGGGAATATGGCAGACTGTCCCAAAATGGGACGGTCAACCCTCCAAAGCCCAGAGGGTAACCCTTGAGTGCAGGTGGGAACGAGCAGCCCAGCAGCCCATGGCCGGGCCATGCCCAGCCCGCGTGGCCTACCAAGCCTTCTCAAAATATTGCCCAAGCAGATCGAAAGTGGTCCTCGTGTGGCCCACAGGGTGGCAGGGATGCGCCTGTTTCTGCACATTGCACATCAAGTGGCAGGGCTGGCCAGGACATACCCCAGCAGTTGAGGCCCAGCCAAAGAATAGCCTACTACCTGCCTCTCCAGTATGTCTGACCTCCATGAACTTGGCATTGTTACTAGTAAGTCCAGGAGCCTGGCTTCTTATCTTACTGCTTATATCTACAGCCCTTTCTGCTCAGCACTAGGTGTGAAATGGACCTGGACTGAAATCTTCTGGATAAGGGAAGAAGACAGATTCCAACTGCATGGGCTCTTCCTACGCCTGAGGCAATGCCCAGACACTGAGAAAATGTGAGCCAATCCCCAGCTTCCCAGGAGCCAAAGGCAGATGGTGGAGAGAGCCAGGCCAGAGGAGAACCAGGAGGCTTTCAGACTCCCCTGGTCTAAGCCTG